GGTAGTCTGCCTATAATCCCAGCACTTGGGGCTGAGGATTTAGCTCAGTGGCACCTGGCCTGCCTGGCAAGTGTCCAAGATTGAGTCCTAGTACAAAAAAAAAAATAAAATAAGAAAACATAAATACAGAAATTAAAAATATCCTTAACCCAAAGAGAGAAAATACTAAAGGAAATTATAGAAAAAAGAGAAACTTAGATGAATGACAGTAATATACAGTCAGCAAAATATTGTCATCTGGAGAATATCGTCGCATCTCGTACTCTGAGTAACTACTTTAAAGATAACAATATTTTTAAAAAAAGATAACAAGGGGCTGGTGAGATGGCTCAGTGGTCTAAAGCACCTACTTGGAACAAGCTAAACTAAACAAAACACAGGGACCGCGGTTCAATCCCCCAGCACCACATGCCAGCCAGCCCCGCCCCCTGGTGGGCTGAACTGGCTACACACACACTAAATAAATAAATAAATATTTTTTTAAAAAGATAACAATACTCGATGTATTAACTCGTTATTCTCATTGTGTTGTATGGGATTTTGCCAGGCAAACAATACAGGACACATGATTTATAGAATTATTGTATTAACAGTCACCCAAAGAGTCATATACAAAAAGACAGCAGGAAATCTGTCCACACACTAACGACCAAAAGAATCCAGCTGAGGGCCTGGATCCTAATATCCTGTATGAGTTCAGATGAGGACCTAGAGCTCATAACAATCCTTCCCACGAGTCCAGCTGGAGGCCAGGAGCACACAACAATGTCTCATGTAGACCTATTTCACAGATCTGCTCTGGGAAGGCCCAAAGGTGGAAGCTAGAAAGTCTGTGCCAGCGAGATGAAGGATCTGTGCTAACGGGCTGAGCGATCTGCACTGCCGCCAGGAAGCAACGCTCAAAAATAAGGACCAGGGCTCCCCTGAAAGGTACCACAGCCATACTCAGTGACAGTGAGGTCCCGAGCCTCTCCAAAGATGAAAACAGCCACATCTATCCGGAAAGCCAGTGGGACAAGCTTCTCCAAAAGACTGAACCGTGCACCAACCGTAGCCATTCTTAGTGACAAGGTCCTGAGCTCCTGACAATGAGTTCATCGGGAAAGCCAGCATGACGAGCTCCTCCAGGAAAACCAACAGCTCCCTCGGGCTTGCAGCAGCTTCACCTCTTTTTCACTATTATTTTTTTATTTTATTAGCAACAATCCTCAGGGGGGCCTCCCACACCCAGCACCATGCTGGTTCAGTTCAGCTGAGTTGACCACCAGTTGTCAATCCACTACATATTATTATGAAATTTTCCCTTTCCCAAAAAATGGCAGAAATATACAGTATAAATAACTGCATCTGTACAGACTTCTATCCTTGTCATTATTCCCCAAGCATTACAGTGTAAGAAGTGTAACAGCTATTTACATAGCATTTGTACTGTTTAGGTATAAGTAATCTAGAGGTAAGTTAAAGTATACCAGAAGATGTTAGTAGACTATATGCAAACACTGTGCCATTTTATTATATCAACATCTGAGCACCCCCGGATGGTGGGTTTGCAGGGTGGGGTGCTGTTATCAGCAAAGCAGGCCAGCAGGGGTTGGGGGTGGGGGTACCTCAGCAGGTACGAGGCAACTGCTTCTTTGGGAAATACAGGCTTTACTCCTAAGAGCTTCCACTTACTGGATATCACATTCAGATAGAAAATCACTAAAGAGAAACATCTTTTCTCTACCCTTTTCCAGAACCCTCCCGGAAGACCTCCCTCCCTTTCCAGCAGTCAGGCATAGATTACTTACCCATTACCAAAGCAGTCACAGGTGGAGACAGGATTATCATGCAGTGTGTGGTTCATACCAGAAACAACCCTGAACCAGGCATGGACTGAGCTCTCTGGAGTCATGTCTAGGACAGACAGTGACTTACAATGGCTGAGCACTACAGGGGTCAGGAGGCCTTCACACAGCTGCAGTGTGCTGTGAGGGCACAGTGACAATCTCCAGCAGATGGCAGTGATGTGCTTGGGGAGAGGCACCTTTCTCAATTGCAGCAGACAAGGACAGACAGTCAAGGCTCCCCTACTGCTGGGCTCTACAGCCCTGGATTCAGCCATCAGAGCAAAAACACCAGGACCCAAACATTTTGAACATCATTATGCCCTAAAAAGCAGAAATACTATATTTACATAGCTTACGCTACATTAGGTATAAGTAGTCTAGAAACAACTTCAAATATGTAGGATGGTAGTAGCACATGCCTATAATCCCAACACTCAGGATGGTAAGGCTGGAGGATTGCTGAGTTTGGTACCAACCTGGGGTATCTGCTGAGTTCAAGACCAGCCTGAGCTACATAATGAAACTTTATCTCAAAAAGTGTATGGGACAGGGAGGGGATACAGGGCTACCATATATGAGACCCAGGGGTTGACACCTGACACTACAAAGAATTTTTTAAAAAAATATAGCGCTGGCTTGGTGGCACATGTGTGTGACTGCAGTACTCGGGAAGCTAAGGCAGAATCACAGTAAGTTCAAGGCCAAACTGGACTACATATGTAGTTGAATTCAAGAAAAGTCAGGTAGGGGCCGAGGAATTGGCTCAGTAGGATAAGCGCTTGACTGGCAAATGCAAGGATCTGAGTTCAATCCCCGGTTCCGCAAAAAAAAAAAAAAAAAACCCTCAGGTATGGTGGTGCACACCTATAATCCTAGCACCCAGAAGGGTGAGCTAGGATTGTAGTGAAGTCAAGGCCAGCATGGGCTATACATTGAGACCTAGTCTCAAGACAAACAAGGCCAGGGATTTAGTGCAGTGGCAAAGCACACACCTGGCAAGCCTGAGATTCTGAGTTTGATTTCCAGTACCATAAAAACAAGTATATTGGAAAATGTATAGAGATGTATGCAAATATTAAACCATTTTATATGAAGGACTTTGGTGGGGGCCTGCCACTCAGCTCAGTTCTTTAAGTGACTGCTTCAACAAAGCAGTCAGTCTCAGGTTGCTGTGGTTTGATCCCCACAACTCAAGCCAGCCAAACCTGCCCTGAAGGCATTCAGAGCAAAAAAAAAAAAAAAAAACCCTTCTGCTGAAGGACTTTGGTGTGTGTGGATATGACTACTGGGGCACAAGATCAGAAAATCAGTCTTCCATGGATGTGAAGGAAAGAGGGGAGTACTCTAGATATACCACAAAACTCAAGAGCCTCTTGGAAGGGTGGAGGTGAAAATGAATGCTTAGTAGGTACTAAAGTTCCATGAGTAGAGAGTAAATACCCTAACTTATAGTAAACTTTTAATATGTGGTAAATTCTGCTTTGAGGAAATAACCCACTCTTGGTTTAAGAAAAATTTTGAAGATCTTTATTCAATTTCAATATAATCTGAAATAGAAACGAAATAAAGATATCCTTAAATGAAAATCATTATATATAAAAATCTACTATCATAGACTGGGTGTGGTGGTTCGATCCTATAATCCCACCACTTGGTATGCTGAAAACAGGAGGATCACTACAAGTCTGATCTTTATAGTGAGACCCTGTACTAAACACATTAAAAAAGGTAAAATCTACTATCATTATCAATAAAAAGTTTAAAATAAGGTGTCAACATTTATTTTTAGGAGGGCCAGGGAAATGTGGTTTAAGCCTTAAGTGCCTGCCTGGCCAGCACAAGGTCCCAACTTTGATCCCTGGTACTGCAAAAAAAAAAAAAAAAGAAAGAAAGAAAAGATTTATTTTTATAATTAGGTGTGATAGCACATACCTGTAATCCCAATAATTGGGAGGCTGAGACAGGAGGACCACCTCAAATTCAAGGTCAGCCTGGGCTACATAGTGAGTTCAGGACCAACCTGAATTGCACTGAAAGACTTTGTCTCAAAAAATATAAGGTTTGTTTTTACAAAAGGGAATAAGAGAGGGTGAAAGAGGAAAGGAAAGAAATGAAAAAGTAAAAGACAGTGAGAAAAAGGGCAGGCCACATAGCTCAGCGGACTAAAGTACCTGCTTAGACAGGCGCAGGGACCAGGGTTCAATCCCGCAGTGCCGTGCTGGGCCCGCCCCTGGGGCACCTGGGACAGTGAGACTGGGTGTGCCTGTAATCCCAGCACTTGGGAGGCTGAAAAGAGGAGGATCACTACAAGTCCAATCTGTGTAATGAGACCCTGTAGTCTCTGTACTAAAATACATAAAATAAAAAAATAGTGAGAAAAGAACATGTAAACATAGCTTTTGTAAATGGGGAGAGCAGTTGAAGGGAGGGGAGTAGGCTGGGGAAGAAAATAAGTTACATCATGTACAGGTACAAATTCTCTATGATGAATGTAATCTCTACATAAAAAGTACCAATAAAATCTGATTTTAAAAAAAGAAGCTACTATGTCTCCAATTTTTTTTTGGAGATGGCACATGGGTTTGTGTTGCCTGTGCTCACTTCAAGAAAGATCCTTCTGCCTCAGCTCCCCAAGTAGCTAGGTACACCACTGCACCTAGCTCAGGAAAGAAACCATGAAGTGAAACTGCAAAAAAAAATTTTTTTGTGTAATTTTTACCCTCTTCTCCTAATACCAAAGCCAAGTTGAACAAACGTCCTATCATCTCACTGGCTTGCTCCCAACGAGTCAGGGTAAGTCACAGCTGGATCAGTAGTATATGCAGCGTGTGCGATGGAACGGAATCCCTTTCATGTCTTCCCTGTGGTCCCGGGCATAGTCCCACAGGTAATAATCCAGGAGGATGGAGTTGATCTCGCCATTAGGCTTTCCACTCTGTTTCTCAATAAGCTCCAGAAGACAATCCCGGATCAGCTCGACACACCACAGAGAGCACCCTCTGATTTCCACCTCCTGCTTATCTCCATATGACAGCATTTCTCCTGCAAAGGTTAAAAATGAGGAAAATATCATTCCTGAACCTAGGCATGAATGTGAAGCTACCTACTACATTTCACCAGAACAGGGGCCCAATCAGTCAATCTCTCAGGACCTAGCCTAACACCCTGCATGTGCTAAACACCTGTTAGAGATGTGGCTTTTCCTAGGTGGTATGACACTGAAGAGGCTGAGGCAGGAGGATCGTGAGTTTACGACCTTCCTGGGCTACACAAAGGGAACAGTCTGATTTTTATGTGAAATCTAATTGTCAAGTGTTAAAAACTGATGAACCTGCTTAAATCAGGTGTGGTGGTGCATACCATCTCTGCACTTGGGGCTGAAGCAGGAGGATCTGTAACTGGTGGGCAGCTTGGGGTACTTAGTGTATTCAAGTCTATACTGTGAGACACTGCCTTTAAAAAAACAAAAACAAAATAAAAAACAAGAATGTTTCGGCCCAGCCAAATAGCTCAGCAGATTAAAGCACCTGCAAGCAGGCACAGGGGCTGAGGGTTTGATCCCCAGGCCTGCAAAATCCCCAGGCCTGCCAGGCCTGCTGAGCTGAGTTGGCATTTGAGAGTGGGTGTCATGGCACACGCCTGTAATCCCAGCTCTTGGGAGGCTATAAACAGGTGGATCACTATGAGTCCCATCTAGTAGTGAGACCCTGTAGACTCTTCCCTAAAATACAAAAATAAATAAATAAATAACACCATGATAGATAAATGTCCCTGTTAAAAGCAGCCACGAATTAGACACCTAAGACAAGAGCATTATAAATAAAACAGCATATTATTTTTCAAACAAGGAAACAGAGCAAAATGATTGCCCAAAGAAACTTAAAACCTGGTAATAATTGACCATAGAAATAATGATACCAGGGGCCGGGGAGATAGCTCAGCAGAATAAGAACTTGCCTGGCAAGTGCAAGGGCCTGAGTTCAATCCCCAGTTCTGCCAAAAAAAAAA